TCGAATTCCATCATCTTTCTTAAAAATGCTATACCTTCATCTTGCTTCTTTATTCCTTCATTTTTATCCCTTCATATTTCTTAAAAAAATTTATACCATGTATTGCTGGCAAACTAGGTTAAGGGAGTAAGTTAATACAACAACAACAACAACCAAGACGGTCGTCGCCCAGATCCAGACAACATCGACACCATCAAACAGATGCCACCACCAAAAGACATAAATTCCTTGCGCGCTTTCTTGGGTCTCATGTGTCACTACAGCTCGTTCCTCCAGGAAATGCACTGCCTTCGTCGTCCGATGAATGAACTTCTCAAGAAAGATGCCAAGTGGTCCTGGTCGCGAGAGTGCCAACAAGCTTTTAAAGGCATGAAAACAATGTTGAGCTCTGACTTGCTGCTCACGCACTTCAATCCTTATCTGAAGATTGCCGTGGCTGCGGACGCCTCCAACTATGGAAGTGACGCTGTCATCTCACAAGTTTTTCCCGACAACACAGAGAAGGCTATCTGTCATGCAGCAAGATCACTTATGTCTGCTGAATGCAACTGCCGACAGATCGAAAAGGAAGACTTGGCTACTATTTCTGCTGGGAAGAAGTTTCATAAGATGCTTTATAGGCATCATTTAACACTTCTCACGGACCACAAGCCTCTTCTTGCTATTTTTGGTTCGAAAAAGGCATTCCTGTGTACTCGGCACATCACCTCTAGCGCTGGGCAACCATGCTGCTGGACTACGGCTTCGACATCTGGTACCAGTCTACAACAACCATTGGTAAGGCAGAAACACTCGCGCTTAACCAACTCACGGATTAAGAAGCCTGAGGACACAGTCATCATGTCCGTCTTCGTTGACTCCGAGGTCAACAGTCTACTTACGGATTCCATTCGTGCACTCCCTGTCAGGTTTGAGGAAGTCCGGAAGGCAACCCGGCAGGATCCACCGTTGAGACAAGTTATCAAGTACCATCGCTATCAGTGGCCCGCGAAAACCTCTGGAGAATTGCAGCAGTTCCACTAACGGCGAAATTTTCCTTCCACCATCAAAGATTGTATTCTGCTCTACGATCGTGTCATTGTTCCACAATAGCTGCACTCCAGGGTCTTGATACAGTTCCACAACGGATATCCCGGCATCAACCGCATGAAGGCCCTCGCTCGCAATTATGTATACTGGGCTCACATGGACCACCAACTGGAATAGCTGGCTCGTTTATACACCAAATTCACACTCGCATCAAAGACGCCAGTGAAGAACACAATGAAGGCATGGCCTGTTCCGCAGGCCACATGGTCCAGGGTCTACATCGATTATGCTGGACCGCTCAATGGCCAGAACTTCCTTATCGTCGTTGATGTTACAGCAAAATACCAGAGGTCATCCTCATGGAACACACGACAGCCGGAGCCGCAGTCAACACTCTTCGGCGACTATTCGGCAGGTTCGGTTGTCGCGAAACTTTGGTGAGCGATAACGGAGGGCAGTTCACATCAGCCGCCTTTGCCCAATTCTGCAAGCAGTCGGGCATTACCACGTACATTCGCCACCATATTACCCTCAGTCCAACGGACAGGTTGAGCGATTCGTCGACACATTCAAACGGGCTCTCCAGAAGTCAAAAGGGGAGAGGACAACTGAAGAAGTTCTCGAACTATTCCTGCTGAAATATCGAGCCACTCCGAACCCGCACACTCGCCGGTATGTCGTGACTAGCGTCTCAGTGTCCTGGCCCCAAGAAGAACCTGCCCAAGGCTTTAGGGTGTTGAGCTTGGCTTTGCTGGCTTGGATGTCAGCATGGCGGTGTAGAGCCGGAATCGGGTCGAGAGTGAGGCCCAGGAGTTTAGGATACTGACATAAAGAACGACAGCTTCTGCTGCTATATGATTTCTCCAATTACAAGAAGCGTTCCAACCCTCATACGTTCTCATCAACAGTCCTGTCTCATTGCACTACAATCGATCCTCTCAACCAACCCCCTTAAATTTGTAGAAGCAGTTTTTTCTCCTACGTTTTGTTTTTTTAAGCGGGTGTTCACTGAACTCTGCCCCGGCTTTAATGGTAGGAGTTTT